AGCGAACATGATGCAATTGTTTTACGTCGAGGCACTTCATGTAACCATGTTCATTCAGGGATCGAAGTTTAGCTGGGCTATATAAAGTGACTTGTCACCTTGTACGCACACGACCATCACTGCATCAATAAATTGGTTGAGCTGTGCACTATCTGCATTCCTTCTCTTTCTTCTGACGAACCTTCTCGACTCAGATCGTCGGCACTGGTGTGATTCCCCAACCGCATTAGGACCTGCTACAGGTCCAGAGTTATCATTCAAAATGTGATTTGAAAAGCCGCCTTTTCATCAGGGTATATTTTTGAAGTTAAAAAGTTGCGAATGGTGGAATTGCAACAAAGCGTTTTCAACACAATTATTTGGATCGTGGGCTCGCACATAATACCGTCAAACGGTGGTTCGGTTTAATTCAAAACGGTGGCTTCAACTTAGGTGAAAAGCCTAGTTCTGGTTGAAATTCCTCCATTGGTAATGACGTATTACGTGGCTTAGTGATAAATAAGAAACCTCAGATTACCACTAAAAAGATTCCTGAGAGACTACACGTTGACATTTCGATAGTAATTTCCCCAAGTTTTGACATTTTGGAGATGACTGAACCATGTATCCACGATGATGTTACTCCTGACCCATGAGCTGAATGAACCTTCTCTGCATCTTGTCATAATTGATGACGAGAAGTGGTGTCTGGGAAGCGATTTACTAAGAAAACTAAGAAAGAGGCATGAAAGTGAAGGTGCAGACTCTATGGCAAATCTTGCATTATCGTTTCCATTGAAAGCGGAGAAATGTCTGATGAGAAATTCCAGCGAATACTTTTGTACAGGCCCGTTTTACGTGGCCAGAAAGTGGTCACTTTACCCAAATGACTGCTGAAATGTAAGCTAAAGGTGCAAGTTTCACCAATCGAAGCAGCAAAATATTTTACGGCTGCGATGATAAACCATATTTTGCTCAAAAAAACCCTACAAACGCTGATGGTTAAAATGAGAAATCCCCTTGATTTTATCCCTTCAAAATTTAACCTTTTCTACAAAACAATATAAATAGCAAAAAATCATTTGAGTAAAGAAGTTGAAATTAAACGCGTGACTTTCTTTGAGGGAAACAACACTGTTTCTGTAACATTAGAGTTCAAAACGTGCACAAAAACCGTGACCGTTAGAGGAGATTATAGGGGAACTAAGAAAGACTACTTTAATGAAAATTTGCTGCATCTAATTTAGTTTCAACTATGGCATGGAGTTTTGCAATCGTCCTATAAAATATTCATGCTTACACTGACAATATTTGAAAGGAGAAACGTAGTAAAACGATAAACTGTCCACTTTTCTCTCCCTTCACCAGATTTCTCAATTCGTGTTTTGTTTTTGTTCCTACAAGATGTACCTCCTGGAAATCGCTGTCTCCAAGCGCTACCTCGATAATTTGACATTTGACTGACGAGTAGGGCTCAAAATGTCACAAAATAGCCCCTGCACTCCTCCGTTTAATCAGCCTGCGAATTACTTCGTGGTCCCGGTTTACGTGGATCAAAAGGTTTGATATTGAAATCAAGCTTTTTTTTAAATTGAAGTTCCCAATTTCATGTTAGGGGACACGGCATCGTTTAAAGTGAATCGAACCACTTACTAAACAACAAAGACTAGATTTTTCTGGATGACTTACCCATTGCTGAAAAGAACTAAAAAATCGCCTGAATTAGTAACACAACTCGACTGAAATGGCCCGATTTGGAGTGAAGGCTCAAGAAACCGGGAATCTGATAATGAGTGTTGCAGTTGGCGAGCCTTTTTAGTTGCTATCATACCGAGGTGGATTCAAACTGCTTCCTGATTTGACCATATTTGGCTCCGCGAAATGGAACACCATAGCAGTTTAAGCCAAAATCACTTTTCATCCAAATAAACTGAAAGCAGATATGTAGTCAACGTGTTCTTTTCCCCTTCCACAGACTAACAAATGCAAAAGTCACTTCTGAAGCACATTTGATAAGTCCACGCACTGCTACTTGTTATGTGATATTAGTTTAAAGCCAAGCCACTGTTTGGTAGTTTTCCCATTTTGCCTTCGTCAGAAAACTCTTTTTCTTTCAACAAGGTCAATTTATTCGTCAGCACATTGAGTTTATTCTGTTGGAAATGCGAGGGAGCGTGGAATGTGCTTGGATGGTAAATTTAAAAAAAAGTCAGTTTAAACGTTTTTGGCTATGGTTTTCTAAAACTTTAGTGGCGCTTTTAGCAAACTGTGAATGGTTAGGGCCAAAAACGGTGAGATGAAAGAAGCAGTGGGTCACCTTCCAACACGATTCTACTTCCACTAATTAATAAGGCGTGCCTGGGTTTGTCGTGCGTGATTTTCTAAACCCCCATCATGGCTTGCACACGCCTCATTTCATTTTTCATTTTATACAAAAAAATATGAAAGTAGAACGTGTTTTTTGGATCTTGTCAATAATGCGCTTGGCAGTGGAGTGAAAAAATATGCGATGCCTGTTTGGCTGAGAAACTGCCCAAAAATCTGTTAGTTCCACGCCACGCAGATTGTTGAATACTTATCTTTTAAAAGATTTAATGTCTGAGCAACGAGGAGCATCAACGTGGAGCATCATTACAGTGCTCTGGAACAATCCAAAATGCAAATCAAATGAAATCAATACCTGTGGTTGTACATGATAAAATAGCAGTGAAAATTAACCACAAACCTCATCGTGCGTGGGTAGGACATCTGAAAACAATAGGTTAAGTTGTGGCATAGACTGAATGTACAGTTTTCAGCTGATGGAGACATCGCATTGATGGCTCTCCATGGACTTGTCATTATCCAAAAGTTCTTTTCACTTTCGAAAACAAGCTGCTGTGGTGTTTGGGTATTAGAGTAAAGCAGAAGAAAATGGGAAGCTGGGAAGGTGGAAGAAACTTGACCATTTCGTTCCGTTTGTTATGAACCAGGGTTAATTAACAATGAACGAGGTTCGACTCCTATCTTGCCAGAACTGGGTTTTTGTAAGGTTTGTGTTATGAAATCAGTTGAGAATTCGAAGCGAGATGTCAAGAATGCATCTCAGTTATGAAGACCAGTGTGAGAAGATAATCAAATTGATAAATTTACCGAGTCACCCTTATGTTATAGTCACCTAAGGAAGTCCAAATAATGACCATTAACATGGCAGTGTTCACCTGTGAGGCTTGAGAATTGCGGAACGGGGTTTTTAGCTGCCCATTAGTCATTGTCATTTGCCTCCATACAACAGAAACTTCAAGGTAGGTGTAAAGTGCATTGTCATAGAGGATTCTACCGATATTTTGCATAACTCTAGTTAAAATTTCGTAGCGAAATTCGCGAGTGATTTTCTAAAGGCAAACAAGATGATCTTATACTATTCGCTGATGGGCTTTAAGCTGTTATGTAGGACACAGGAGTTAATATTTCACTAAAAAACACATGCTTTTCATGAGAGATCGAAACTAATTGCATCTCGTGAGTAGTCTTCTAATGGTTTGTAGCGGCTCCAGAGTGCGATGGCTGTGAATTTATGGATAAAACTTCGCAGCTTGCCTTGTAAATTTAGCCAGTTCATGCTGTAAAAAATACAAATTGGCACACTACGACGTCCATTTGATGCTTTCCAATGGACCCTAATAGCTTTATTTTGAGGAAACAGTTTAACTACGCAACAATGCTTCATAAATTCCCTTGTACAGTAGACTGCACGAAATTAAGTTTGCTAGTGACTTATGGAATTGTGTTAAGCAACAGAGCCAGAGCCCTGTTAATCGATAAAGGTAGCATAAAGAGAAAGAACCAAAGTTTTCCAAAACAATCGGATTCCGTTCACTTAGACTAAACTCTAATGTGCCCTACTTTTAAAAAATTCATCCTTTCAATAAACTTTGGAACACATAGAAATTGAAGTTGCAACTAAATATCTCATTTTAGACTACAAACTTTTTTCCTTATGGGTTACATTGGTGCAAGATTTGTATGAGAAGCCGCTGGTGCCTCGTTACCAGAAAAACACCTTAAAAACGTATGCTTACGTAGTGGATTAACAGCGATCGCGCCTGAGAGAACCCTGGTTACCGACCTGACGGTGACAATGACTCTTCCCCCCTTCATTGCTTACTGTTATCAGACCCCTTTCACCCATCCACTCATACACACACGAGGACACACTTGGCTGGCGTGACCCTAATAAAAGGTCGTGAACTCTGTCGCCTCTTTTCCACTCTTCTCGAGTTGTTACGGCCTGTTAACTAGAGGGTTGTAAGGTAGTACTTAGAACACAAGCCACTACATTTCATATTTCACCCTAACACTCTATAGACTAAAGCACACTAATCACGTGCCTTGCCACCTGTGAATGCAACATCACAATTAGATATTCCTCCACCAATGAATTTAAAGTCGCTCAATTTTCCCACAGTGGGCTTCTCAATTTTAAAGCACGAATGTGTTAGAAACCCTTCTCATAAGTGCCAATTTCAATTATACCGAAGTCGAGCAAATGAACTCTAAAATTAGTACTGTGTCCCAGAGATGCCCATCCGTCAGCTGACCGTAAAATGAAGTGAGACTGCATTACGGTCGCATTCATTGTGCTGGAATTTCGAAAAGTCGAGCACGGATCAAATAATTAAATCTTCCGGTAAATTATTGATGGCCACTAAACAACAGTCACGAGTTGTCTGAGTAAATATGATGTGAAAACAGACATCAGCATCAAACGCAGTTGTGTTTCTTTTAACCTAAATTAAAACAAACCTTGTAACTGGAAGCTTTGTATATTTGGAACAGTTGTTGCGCTACTTTGAAGATATCTTGTCTTAAAACTACCTTCTACTGCATAGCGGTGTCACATAGCATTACCTGCAAATATAATCATATCAGGATCCCCAAATATTTTGATAAAATTTAGTTTTTTTTGTTTTGGTTACTTGTAATATCACTCATATATCTGTACAAAAGGATAACGGATCAATTAACCAGGCTTGTAAAGTTCAGATCACACTACTGGGAAAGTCGGAAAAGGAGCCGCTTCCCGCACGACCGTCTCTACTGGCATCGCCATCATGAAACCGGTGGACCAGCTGATCGTAGGAGGGCACAGCGGAATCCTCTGAATCCTTGCCTAACTGTGTGTATCTGTTATCCAGGTCGACAAACGTCGCAGTGCCAGTTAGCGCCGCATGCTCGGATTCGACTTCGGGCGAGTAAGTGCGCAGATCGTGTGGCTCCATGCGCCAGCTGACAGTCGGCGTGGATTTCTTGCTGGTGGCTCTCGATGCTGGACCAACGTGAGTCGGGGTGTTGTGGATTTGGACGTAGCGCAGCTGGTCCGCGGTGACCTTGGAGGGAGTTGAACCTGGCGGGTTGACAAGCCTGGTGTAGTGCTGCTTGTCTTTCGCGGTATCTGAGGTACCTAAACTCATTCCTGATAGTGTGGCGGGTGTGGCGGTTGTGGACAAAAGGCATATTTCTTCCTGTCGGCTGGAGGGGTAGCAACATTCCTCAGGAAAGGCTTTGTGAGGGGGACTCGTAGTTCTACCAACTGGAATTAACAGTCTGAACTTCAGTACATCAATCAAAGACGGTCAAGTAAGCTAATAAGCGATTAGCCAGTTCTCCTAGTTAGGTAGGCAGTGTGGCACCATTTTAACCTACTTAGTAAGCATCCGCTTTTTGTTTTAACTCTGGAAACATGGATCTTGTTTGCCATCACGATCCTCAATGGAGTTTGCCTTGAGGTCTAAATGAAAAACAACCTATTGCAGGTGTCATGAGATGGCACTACAAACCATGTGGTTGATTTTGTTCGTCAGTTCGTTGGGCTCGCTGTGGTCACCTACACCCCCTTGTGATCTCACGGGGAGTACAAGCGATTGAGAAATATAGGGGATTTTTAGCCCTTCCTGTATAAGTGTTTGTGGAAGTTATTTTTATTTAGATAGATGACGCATTAGCTTTGAAATAGTCGGCTTTGGACAAAAGGAACACCCAAGCGATAATCTCGCACGTAGACCTTGTTTATGTCGTAATTACACATTAATTTAGAAATTTGTTTTAGTAGAAGCAAGCAAAGCAGTTGTTGAAGGTCTTCAACCAAAAGCTTGGCTGCTGTTTGAGCAGTATGTAGACCTACTGTTAGGAAACTAGGCTCCAGTAGTGTCCAAAGGAACAGAACTACCGAATTAATGAATATGAATCACTAGGATTCACAACGCCTCTAGTTGACAGGTTAACACATGGAAGATGGTTAATCACACGCTGAATTTTGTCTTTCATAAATACACCAGATTCTTAAAGTGATCAAATTTTGTCACCAGAAATTTCAGTCCTCACCAAAACACTAAAACACATCGCAAGGTTTAAAAGCGCCATAGTGCGCGATAGCTGTAGCAGTATTTTTTTGTATGAATATCGATGGCTTACATCCAAGACCCCTACAAAAAATTTGCATTTTCTTAAAACCCTGCTGGAAATTCGAGCGCCATCTCGCTTTTCTTCATGTAGACTATTCCCAGAGCATGATTTGTCAACAAAATTTGCGTGTCCGCATACAGGCGGATGGCTTGTGATGGCAATTTCGGTGACATAGCTTTTGACCAAAGTAAAATTTAACTGAAATCTGGCCTACTCTAGAGAATCAAGCATTAATTTACCATACTTTTAAATGTTCAATGCGTTCCTTTTCCACTTATCTACAATATTTAATCCAGGTCTTGACTGTGGCGGGTTCAGAATGTTAAGTAGTGTCAATTATGCTCAAAGTTGTTAAATACACACTACCCAAACAAAATCAAAATAAACAAAACTCACGTGTTGCTGTTTTTGCAGTTCCCGCTCGATCGGCGTCTGCTGAGCCCCTTTTAAGTCTCCAAGTCCGCTTCTTCTAAAAAAAATTGATTTTTCCACGGAGTTAATAAATCAATATCTTTGTTTTACACAGTAGAAATTTGGGCAACTTAGAATCCCGCTTGATTCAAAAATGCTAGAAAATTTTTCTATTCTGCCATAGTAGACTATCTTAAAGGCGCCATAATTAGTGTCTTAGAAAGGAAGGACAGCTCTTTGAACACAACTCTAAGAGGGTTACAATGATGTTTTTTCTGGGGTGCATACGTGCAAAAAGGTTTGGCTTAAGAAATCGGCATTTTTAACCTTTAAAGCTGACTTTTAACGGCTTCAGTTAACCACGCCAATTAACTTGATGGCTCATTCAACAGCGTGTTGTGCAGTAGGTTGGAAATAGTGCGAAGAATTAGGGATCTTAACGTGCAAATAAAGTTGCAGCGCTTTGGAAAAGATGGAGGACGCAGTAGCACTGAGAGTAAGGTGCGCTGACTGTAACTGGATACCCAGGACGAAATGCGATATTTTCCTTAACATAGTCCGTCCGAAAAGATACAAATAATTCATCAAAAATACTCGTTAATACATTTTCAACCACAAAACAACTGTAGAACAAGAAGTCGGGCAAGTTGTGGCCTAATATATTGATAATTTTGCGTAACTTTGCATGAATTGTCGTGTTCGAAGCATGCTTTATTTGACTGCTAATTTTATTAATATTGTGACTCGCTTGTTGCTATTTTAGGAGGGACTTAATCGTGGCAGCCATTGACCACCAAGTAGATAATTTAGGGATAAAACAATGATTTGAACAAGTTATTTTCATGTTTGTCAATTTTTTGAGATATGGGGACAAATGTCAATTTTAGAAGCAGAAAAAACATGATTTTTTATTTGAAAAATGGGGTTGCGTGAGTACAATATTCGCGACAGAGAAATTTAAATTTATGACAATTGCGAGTGCGTTCCTTTGTTAATGTATGTGTTTTTGTTTTTTTTAAAAAAGATGCATTTTAGCTTTCCCTTCACGTAATTATTCCACAGCAGGCTGCACAACCATCATCGTTCACCTTTCGTTCCGCTTTACATAAGTTTAAGACGATAATTTCCCTTTGCGCTTCCTCAAATATTCTAATATTTGTTTTTTACAGACAAAGACAAGTAAGCATCGCCTGAACACATTGCCCATTTGACATTTCGGTTAGATTTCCACCAATGAAATGACGCCTTTGATGTGCTAAAATCCATTTCAGTGATTGGTTGCTTCGTCTGGAAATGTGTCTAAAGAGCATGACTAGAAGTAAAGTTACCTTCAATTAACTTCCCTGAATTAATGTTAATTGGACACTTAGTAGCATTGGCTGATTGTCCGATATCATCGGCACTCATCGGCATTAGTTTCAGAGTCGCGCATAATGGACACTAATAACCATGGAATTAAATTTATGGTAAACTCAAGTCCATACTAGACGTCTTATTTCACGAAACACAGGTAGGATCCTTTGAAATTGCATCAAAGAGGTGGTTTCAGCCCAAAGAATGACCTTCCAATATTGCATTTGAAATTGGAAAAAAGCAAATTACTACATCCCATCGGGTGCAATGATGTTTACCAGTTGATTATATATGAGGCGAGGTAGAATTATCTTAGACTAATGTTTTGTATTGCATTTTAAGCCAAGGAAACAGTCTAGAGCCGCTGGTTGTATTGAAAAATCAGCCTGAGTCCTACCTTGTGTATCCATTCTTTAAGAATGCTGAAGCCGTTCGCTTAACACACATTAGGCTGTTTAGCTTAAACAGCCCTTGCAATCACCAGTGTCTAATTTCTTTATTTGCCAGAACAGGCCAACTCAGCAACCTTTTAGACTATCATTCTACCTGAGGAAGCTGCTCCTTCCCGCTTACTTTTTCAGGGCCTTCATAAATAAATAACGCAGGATTGAAATGGATTCTGCAGCATGCTCTGATGTTCTCATTGCCTAAGCACTGTGCTAAGAATCAGACATAAAAAGGCACGTGGGTAATGGGATAGGTTGGGAAATATGGCCATACAAGTGGAATGAAAAGACAACGCGAGGCATGTCTGCTGCTTGGTGCAAATTAAGCGTGACGTCAGCCAGCTGGGAGCGTCGCCAATTAAGTGGAGATGTTGTGAGTCTCAGTGCTTTACGTTCATTAATTCGCTTGCTCTATTCTCTCACTCCTTTTCACCGTAAACCGTCAACCACGGGGAGCCTCAATTCACACCGAATTAGCGCGACGATAAACGGAGAACGACTTAGTCGACGACGGTTGTGTCGGCGTCCCTTCCGGTCTTTTTCATCTTCGCGGGTACTTGTTTTAAAGAAGTCGGGCTAACTGCAAGGCAGTGGCCCCGACGTGGTTCGAGACCACGTGCCAGAGGAAAACGACTTAAAAGGGGTCACTTGTTAGAGTGTCACCCTTACCGCGTTAGCTGCCTTGTCTTCGCGGTCGCTTTCACTGTGACATTCGTTGGGTGTGGGGGTGAGTTGTGTGGACGAGAGACCCGACAGACAGGAGGTGCTTTGTGAGGGCCTCATGGCCTGCTCGTCGGTGAGTTGCTGGTGAGCAAGGCTCTGGTGCTGGTGCTGGGAGGTGCTGGGGTTGTCTGTGACAAAATGGACAAAATCATAAAGCACCTGAGCATCTACACGAACCTTGTTTTAATTAAGCACTGTTTGGCATTTAAATAAGGTTATGTTACGGCTATATACCAGCCCTGTAATTGGTCACTGGGCTCCAGAAATGTCTGATACCGCGTTTTCTCTTGGCACCCTCAACTTGCGGACACTCGAAACTGGGTAACAGTGCACATTTGAACCGAGAAAAAAGTAGGATTTTGATGAAGGCTGTCTTCTTTATCTAAATACTTCATTAGTTCAGTACGAAGAGTTTCGCCCATGATAGAGGCAGAAGGAATCCTAATCGATTAAAGAGTTATATAAAGTAGGCTTCCAAAAAAAAAAAATTTAAAATCCGTTTCTGATTGACTGAAAAAAACTGGAATTTAATAAACATGTTATAGATAATTCACAATTGTAACTACGCAGTGCCCTTAAACAGCTGAAAAATTCCAAGTTTCAGCGTTGCTTTTCATTTATATTTGCAGTTCCAAAAAAACCAATTCCGTCTACCGGAAGTCGATTTTTCATTACACAGAGGCCTGCAAATAGTTCCGGGTAGGCTTGTAGGTTCGAACTTTTAAGCGTTTCCGAAGTTAGAGATTGCTTGCTGCGCATGCGCTTAATCTAAAATGCGGCAACCTGAGACTGCTTGGGCATTTTTCAGGAAACCCTTGATTTAAAATGCTAAAATAGGCTTTTGAGAGGCAACTTATTAAACAACGGGGCACTTAAATTAGCTGATTCCAGCTTGGAAACAAATACACTTTGATTTTGGGCCAAAATTTCTGGTATTGTCCTAAGTAAAACAATTTTGACGCCACATTGTGGCACAACTGAGGTTTGTTGGTCCCACACGCCCCCTTTTTGTACCGATTATGGCTCAACAAGGTGATTTTAACAAAAACAGATCTTATTAGTTTAAAAAGACGCAATAATCGTTGATGAAATGGTTTTTAGCACAAATATTACATTCTCGTGAGCAAGATCAGTGACCCTAGGTAAATTGCGTAACCTCGAGACTGGAACCTTCAAAAACCTTATCACAGTGATGAGCCAAACTGCAGTACTGCTGAACATGCGTGTTGGGCTGCAGCTGTTTTGTCCATGTCGTCGTCGAGTGTTGAGCTCTTAAGCGAAATTGTGTGCGTTCAGAAAGAAACCGCATTTTTAACGCCAGGTGTTACTGCTATAAAAACGGACAGTCTTTTTGCTCCTCGAGCACAGTCACCGCCGCAACGCCTTCGTTGTTTAACATTCTAATTAGGCGGTAGGCTTTCTTGCATGATTAATGGGCCGAAAGAAGACATTTGGGTGCCGTAGTGACTTATTTGGTCGCCTACAACGTGCGAAATGACCGCCTCCCCAACCCGCCCACATCACATTAATAAATAACTGTGCGCGAAATGAAGCTCACGATTACACAATTTCCATGAACCCGCCAAATATGGCCATTCAAAATGTGAAAGGTTGTTTCGATTCTAGAGTATACAGCCTCTATTGGACAAATGTGCAGCAGATAAGGAAAGCAGTCCCTGACTGTAGTTTGCAGCCTTGGTAAATTCATCTTTATCTGCCACGCTGTCGTATTTTAAAACTTCTAGCCCCTTGAAAACCCACGAATCTTACTTTTAGTTCGTGTAGAAATTTGATATGTGTTACAAGACTAAAGATGTACTTCGTCACGTCATATCGCTGTTCACACCAACAACTCACAGCGCAGGGTTACTTACTCATCTTTTTCAACCCCGGATCTCCCAGATACATCTAAACATCACCCTACCGCCCACAGTAAAGCCTGCCGCATAACTATTCTCGCAGTGAGTTGCGACAGAATAGTGATTTAAAGCGCAACAGACCTGCAAAACCCTTCCTGTAGTCACTGAATGGAGTTTTCATGCGCCATGGCCGCGTGATTTCATTTTGTGAAGTTGTTCAGTACCATCGTGCTATCCAAAAACATCGAACGAAGCCCTTTATTCTTCAATTAATTATCAGTCTTAACGTAAAAAAGGGCTAGCATAGTTAATGATGTTAGCTTGACCTTTCCTAATGATCATCTTACTTGACGACATTGATTAAACGTGTACTGATCAGCCCACGGTTTAGCAATACCATAAACTGTGCCAGGCGTTTAACTGATACAATGAACATGGTAAGGTGCTAAATTAGTTCAATAACATGCTCAGAGTAATTGGGTGGATATACTTCTGAGTGAAAACCACACAAACAAGCCAGTCTAGCTTATTGTACTACAAGAGAGGATGCTAGACTTACCCAGAGCCGAGAGTTCAATTGGGGCTCCGTCCATGCTAACCGCATAGCCTCCGTCAGGCCTGGTCAAGATAATAAATTGGCGGCCTTGTTGGCATTGTGCCAGAGTGCCAGCTTGGACACTGCCGTCATAGTCAATAGTAAGGATATTTTTGCCTGACATTGATCCACGCGACGGCATAATTTTGTCCCTGTCCACAGGATAGAACAAGGCATCCTCCCCGCTCGCCAATGAGCCATCCTTTCCTCCAAGTGTACCGATTGTGTGCGAATCCCTAAACACCTCTGGCAAGTAGGCCTCGTGATGATGTCCTGTGTGGTTTTGTGGAAACCCGATTGTGGTTTGGGCTACATTATTGTAGCTATTCTCAGCTCGGTCGCGAAACAAGCAGACGGGACACCGAAGGAAGAGCATTGCAACGATTAGGAACAAGGAAATGACTATGGCGACGGCGACCATGACAACGATCACCACCAGATCGTGGTGTTGAAATACCGATCCACCAGACGTGTAGGGAGCCCCCATCCTGTTGTTGCTGGCGCCAGTGTACTTCGGACGCTGAAAGTCCATGATGTTAAAGAGGATTGTCCGATGGCTTGACTTGTTTGGTTTGCCCATGTCACTGGCTTCGATGAGCAACTTGACGAGGCCCATGTCAGCTGGTCGAAGAGGACGCGCGATGTAGAGGGCACCGGTTGAGGGGTCGAGTTCAAACATTTCCTGCCTGCTCACTTCACTGTCAGTTTGATTCTCGTTGCGTGGCTCAGTGGCCGCCGCGGTGTTGGAGAGCACGGAGACGTGCATGACTTTAAACATGATCTGGCCGTTTTCGTCCAGATCAGGGTCGGTTGCTCTTAACAAGGCAACTTGGTGTCCCACTGGTTCGTGGATAGTGACGTTTACGACAACGTTGGATTCAGGTGGAAACAGCCAGTTTGGTGCGTTGTCATTGATATCTCCTAGGTGAATTTGTACCTAGGAAAAAGCGACACATCTTCAATGCGCTAATCGAACATGGTACTCGTTAACATCAGTTTGTGGAACATAATTCAGTATTCAATCCACCCGCTTAATATCGTGGAATCCATCATGAGTACGCTAATGTGGTCGAATGCTCGAAATTTTACTAGTAACACGTTGAGTCAAATGCAAGTTTATTTACAGCTATTCAGACTTTAAAGCGGTCCACGGCTTTATAGGTGTTTATTCCTCATGTGATCAGCTATTATCAATGGCAGTTTGACAGACTAGCTCGTTTGAAATAAGCAGCCATATGCTTCTGCTTGGGACAGCGAAAATTGCCTTAGAAATGACAGGAATTAATCAACTACTGACAGACAGCACAAGTATGAAAAACTTTGATAGGACCTTAAAAAGAGTTGACAGTTAATTTAATAAACTCTTTAGAATGAACTGCTGAATTCGTGCATCTTGCAGGTCTCTGTGTGCTTGCAACTTCAAGGTAAATCGGATTTTCAGCCATTTTTGCTCGTAACCCACGAAAGCCAACAGGACGAGGATGGCCATTACTCGACCCCAATCGCGAAAGTACCTCACGATGTCCAATTGAAAACACTATTTCACACTTGCTCCACTTACTGGGCAAAGATACTTACCACCGTCATATTTCACCAATTCTTTTGGGAGGGTATCATTTTTCCAAAAAAATAACTTGGTGTGAGACAATGACTACAATTATTTGTATTGGGCAAGTGAGAATCTTCATCTAGTGCTGTTTAGGGATATTAGCACCTTTAATGCTATCAAGATGTTACCATTCTGAGCACCCGAATCGTGCTTGAAATTACTCATGTTGTGTTTCCATTCAACTTAGAAAATTTACGACTTAAATGTCTTCATATTTTATCTACTCTGAGAATTTTTGGCTGCAAGGTTACCCTAACCTTTATACAGAACTTGCGGTGTTATTCGAACCTCTCTATTATGAATCCTGTGTGGAACCCGACTGGCAGTAGAAGATGTTTGGCTTGCTTATTTACGCAATGCAACAATCTAGTTTAATTTTGAGGATGAGATGACTTGCTTCAAACTGTTCACGAGTTGTATGAGCTGTGTCTGTGGCAATGGCTTTTTTTATTTTCAAACCGATATGCCAAGTCTTAAAACACAACACACATAACTTGAGTGAAATACTAGGAGTCCACCAAGTCAGCATGCGATCCGAAAATCGACTACTGCTTTATTAAATTAAACAGCCGAATAATTAAAATTATTCCTTTCATATTGGCAAGCAAAAAAGCAATTTCGTTGGAATTTGGTTTCGTTGCATATAATTTAAACTCGATGGGCCGAATCGGTGCGAACTTGTGCTAAATTTGGACCGCGGACGACGCTACAACTTTATGGCCCTTGCACCAACAAATCATCATTAATATGACACGACCGTCGCCTGCAAATTCCGCCTATAATACGGTGTATTTCAATATGATCAGACCGTATATTTAGACACAACCGGATGGCGATGAATGCACCACAAGAATGCTGCCGCACGTTAGTACAATTTACCAGCGCAGCCCCCGGGCAGAACGCGGGCAGCTTTACAGGTTTGTGCACATCTCTGATGCGCAATTATTAGAAAAAATTGGGACTGAAATGTAAGTGATTGCGTATTGGTTTGCCATGCGTCCAAATGCAAAGAAAGTTTGCTCGTTAGTTATACATTATAGGCGTATATGAAAACTGAAGCTGGGAGAGCATGTTGTGTAGATCTTTGGTCTCTGAATTAGATCAATAATAACCTTGCCTCTAGATTAGGTAGTCAAGTCCACTTATCTAAGAAACCCAGAAATCGTGTAAATGTCTCAATATGAGACTGAAATGAATAGCACACAAGAGGTGCAAACCGCTAAAGCCTAATTCCTGTTTTCAATGTTTAATTTGTACCTTTTGATTGGAACACTTCATCCATTGATGGAGTAACAATTTTGCACTAAATTTATGCACTAAGTACCCCGGTTTTGAAGGAGTCATCTAGGCACCCGAACAGTCAAACACAATTAAAGTTGAATGAAGCAATCAGTGTCACTGACCTGGGCAGTGGCTGACAGCGAGGGCTTGCCGGAGTCGGCTGCAACAACAGTGAAGTGGTACACGCTGGTGGTTTCTCTGTCAAGTGTTTCCCGTGCAACTAACACACGCCCGTCAGCTGTTACGCGGAAGTCCTGGTTAGCCTGGTTCATTATTTCGTCCTTTATAAAATAGCGTATCTAAAAAGACAACGAAAATAATAGACGAGACTGCGAAGGGCATGGCAAATGGCTAAGTTACTCGTTAAGAATTCTATCGGAGTTTTACAAAAAAACTGTCCAGATTCCAGTAAGAAGGGGTGTTTGACAGAGTGGTTGCTAGTATGCAGGCAGACAATTAGATCTGCCGTTAGTTATCAATGTTTCTCGAGATTTTAAAGTCCTGTAAAGCGCAGCACCCAGGAATCCATCAAATTTACTGAATGCCACAAGTTTTGAAGAACCAATCGTGGCATTTTTAGAAATGCCTCACCTGATTAGCTATATTTACGACAGTGCGAATATCCTGAATTCAGCTGAGTATGCTATAAAAGCCTGCTACTGCTTGTTAATCTTTAGCGAATAATGAGCAGGATGGTTAATTGCAAGCTTGGGCACTTTTGGCCTGGCCAAATAAGTCGAACGTCACACAGATCACAACGTAAGTAGGCAAGCAGCAAGTCAAACGTGCTAATTGTCGTCAGGGTTAAAATAGATGTTAAGCAACAATACTGGTGATTCAGATCAAAATGTGTTCAAAAGTGCTTTTGAATACTTGTCAACTCACTGGTTGTAAAATTATGATGTCAAAATATCTTGCGAAATGCCCATAATAACCAAAAACAATTACTCGATTTGAGACCTGATGAATTAACCAGTCCAAGAGCACTGTCTTAGATCATTTACCTAAATTGGTGGTTACCAGGTGAAGTGCTCAAGCTATGACTTTTCGTGTTACCAGTAAATCAATGCGCTATGAAGAAATATTTAAATTCACTAAATGATTGCTGGATTAACAAAGAAAAGTGGTTAACCAGCCTTTAATTGGCTTTTCTTGAGGTAAAAAATACGGTTGCTCTTTCATGATTTTACTGATTTTGATTTCCGCTTTTTGTTTGTAGTAAATTGTCCAGTTAAGAGGCAGAGGTAAAAGTCATCCAATGATGGACCATCAAAGACACTCTTGGAATTATTCTCTGCTGTTTCAGACAGTCCAACAATCGTCATGTGGATTTTTAATTACAAATTAGTGGTGAGAGTTGGCTAAATGCAGTCAGATTTTTGCCCATAAGCTTAATTGAAATTTTTTATAGAGATCGTGTACTTTTGGAAGATGGAAGGCGATGAGGTGATTAGTTGAGCAAACTCAGACGGTTTTTCAACAATACTACGGAAAAATCTTGCTGAAGTGACACCTTTAACTGAACGCCTCTTAAAACACCGTGCAAACGTGACGGTATTTTTGCTCTAAACAACTGCTCAAAATGGCAGGTTAGGACCGGAAGTAGTTATGTCCTTTTTATTGTTCAACTGAACACTTTCTTAAGTGCTCAGCTAAAGCAGGAGCGTAGATAGCCAAAAAGGAACAGTAAGCTACCCATAAATAAGTTAAAGATGAGAAAGAAAAAAGCCTCAGAATGTTACCAAGGCTTTCACACAGGGGCTGGCTTAGCTTATGCTACAGTCCTGCATATGATTTAAATGCTTAACGGCACTGTCTGATATGGTCATTGCCCGTTTTACTTGTGATGCATCATTATCACTTTACTGTGTAAGGATTTCCGTATTTAAGAATTCAAACTTACTCGTAGCATGATCAATATCTGACTCCAAAATATTCAGTTAATTATTTTTGCATTTTGAACAGTTTTTTGCGTAGTTGCAAGGGGTTTACACTATCTGCCATTATTTAACTCCAAATATGTGTGAGCTTAGTTTGAAGTTTAGCCTCACTACAAAACAGATTAATTGGCGCAGACAGTCAAAAATGTAGTCTAGTGTGAGATCTGCCGCTATGTACAGTGATGTCGCTTGCTTGTTTGGTCATGTGATCTTGCAATGTTGTACTAACACCAAACAACAGCGCGGTTGTGGCAAAAGTGACTCAGTCGAAACAATTTGAAGTAGAATAAACGCAAGATTTCTCGTGGCCTTGTTATGACCTGTTAACAAACGGATCTTGATTGTGTCTCTTGCAGTACAAAAGATGATGTTTGAAACGCACAATTCCTCTTTTTCAAAGATATCTGAATGTAATGAAGCCGTTAGTCCTAGTGCCTCGAAATCTTCTACATTCGTCTAAACGGAATTTCGTGTTTTAATTTAACAATAACCGTATTTCCTCCCCAGAAATTACAAAGATTTTTGGCTTCGCTTAATAAATGCTTGATTTAACTATGAAGAACACTGTAAAAGCCGGCAATTTCCATCACCCGAATCGTTTTTTCCTAAAGGATTACACAAGATTTCACTTTCCCTCAACAAAGCCACTCTTTGATGTATTCACCAATTAAAATTTACGCTGCTGTTCGGCAATCTGCCAATTATAACCTTTGGCTAGATCAACTTGAAAGCGGAAACGCATTTTTTGTAGTGTTTGGGGGGTGCACTGCCTACTGAAGTCAGGCTTGGCATTTCACGAAATGCGTTCATTTATCAGCGTCTAGAGGTGACACTTCCTAGCGCATTGTTTAGACCACAGGGCAGAGTGGGGGAGGCGGTGGTGGTTAGGGTGGCTTCGTAAGTTAAAAAATCAAAATTGCTCACGCAAACAAAACTGTCGACCTTGACAAGAGTTGTGCCATAAAGAATAAATTCAGATGCAAGTACAGTGAGTTTTTAAAATATCCCAAGAACTTGCAAGGAAATAATATTTGTGTCGTTTTTTAAATAAAGGAGAAAAATACGTAAATTGCTCTCGTTATCCTTCAAACGTAGTCTGTTAATCAACCTTACAATAATTTCTGTTATTATTACCATGAATGACATCCCCACTTGGCTAAGTCAGTGAGTGAATCTGGCATCACGCAGTTCTAGTTTGTGAGAAAGAATGCTTTCTGTGTGTGGCAGGACAAATTTAAAGAATCCTCTCTATTGGTAGACATTTACAACTGTGCCAATCTCCGAAATCATATTTCCTAAATTGACAAAATTACACGCCTCACATCAACTCCTATTAGATACTAGGTAATTTCCTTCATTTATCTAGCCACCCCCATCACAAATTTCCATTTACGTGAGTGTAAATGTGTATCATTCTAGGGCCTGTTAATTAAAATTTTAGAACCAAATATATTTGTATTATTGCAGCATTTTATTGTTTAATGTAAATTAGCTTTGAAAAGCTGAGAGCTGATTCCATTTCGGCAGTAATTATAGGCTACTTTCATGTCGCCCTCATTGTAACGATACGAATGCCTGTTATTACACCTGTTTGGGCATGGCCATTACGTAGAGATGTCAGTTAGACTAACTTGTCGCAGTATTGGAAAAGACATTTAATCTACCACAGATGATGCAAAACACATATATATTTCTCAAAAGAAGACCCTAAACAAATGACACCTTTTGACGGCAGGTTTTTAAATTTTTAACCAGTTGTGAGTTAGAAGTATAAGAATCAAAAGAGAATGCCTGCGATTTGACAACCCAAAAATTACTAAATTAATTGACAAAATTGAAAAAATTGACAAAAAATTGACAAAATTGAAAAAATACCGATTTGCGTCCTTCATTACACATTCACTGCAGTTTCAGTTCAGTTTTAAGTTATTCGAGTACCAGACGGACGAATCAGCTTTGGTTACGTACTACTACACTTATTAATGCCATTTTTTTACTTTTAGCCTATTAGCCATTAAGCTATGTAGTTAATACGAAATAAATCCATTTTCATTCTACATACGTTTTAAGTTAAAAAGTCAAGCTATTCAATTAAAAGTCATACTCAGATACACAAATAACCACTGGTCATGGATTTACGCTGGCTGCAGAGTGTCGAGTATGGTAGAATTTACCCAAGGCAGCATGTTTTCGATGCCAAAATGGGAGCGATTTTAGGCATTTGCTAATCAAATATTTATGATTGCAGGGCAATCTAGTGGGAGAAAGGAGGTTGACTCAAAAAAATATTATCCCCCTGAGAGCATGTAGGGGTTTCTGTTTGAAAGGAATCACCCGGCACTTCAAACACGGCTTGTGCGACGGTGGATTCGGAGGTGTCTTGCGTGTACAAGGCGGACTTCATGCTACACCTTAGTGCAATTTTTATGCACAGGAACTGGAGATTTACTTGGATTTTTACCTTTGGACTTTACCTGGCTGCTCGATATTCTTAAAAGCCGAGACGTCCTTCCTACAACTCTTTCAATTATTTTGAGATTCTCCCATGATGCTGAATCATCCTCGTTTATTTAGGCGATTTGACGACGCACTCTTATTTAAGTACCTGAACAATAAAGCCTGGGAAATAAGGAAGGATGAATTCGGCGGAAGCGTGCTCTTTGGAACCACGTCGATAAAATACATTAGCTGGAAGTCGAGTTAATGCTCCAGTTGAGTGTTGCCGTAACTAGTGAAAAGCAAGCCAGTGCCGTGGACTTATTCCACGGATTAAAATAAGTTCATTGTGTGATATTTGCAGGCAATGAACGAGTTTGGATAAAATTTAGTACCATAACATGCTGCAGCACTGGCAGAAATATTTAATGCACGCGAATCAACCATCCTACCCCAGCGAGATTGCGAATAGGCCTTTTAAATTTGAAGGCTTTAAAATATATTTTATTAACCATGCGAATGAAATACTTTTTATGGGTATAAAACCAACTGGGTCTTTCACAACTGTCTACAAATCTATTTGCAGTGCGGGTTTTGATCTTTGATGCTTCAACAAAAATTGTACTGTGTCAGGTTTAATTAAGAGCCCCAACTTAAACAAACATTATCCCTTTGTTTAAATTGAAGACATGGTTTGTCAGTAGCAAAAGACACACACCCTCGCTCCTGAAACTGATCCTTAGAGGCTCCAAAAAGGCAACCCTCATAAGTAGATATTCGCAATCAGTAAACCGTCCTGTACGCTAGGTACTAGTTAACCCCTCCAACCGGTTATTGATCTGCATGAGTTTGCATGAGACTGGACAGAAACAGGAAATCGTGCGGAGTGTGCGACCCCCTCAAAGACATCCGAGGTTAATTTAATTCCTCGCCAACCACTGGACCAGGTGACATTCCCTTTCATCTCCTGATTAAAGTTTCACTCCGCAGTGGAAAGGAATGGAAATAATTGGCCGGTCTGGTACACAGACTTGAAGCAGACAACTGGTAACCGATTGTGTGCAGCTAGATTAAAACACGAATGCCTGCAAGTGCCTCCAAGTACAAACCTTGCTTTTTTATCCAATCACCACTCAACAACTTGAGAATGGGCATAATGTGCTGGAATTTTTTCACTACTTATTCTTGCCTGCAGAAATGCGAAGTTAGAATTCATAGTGATCACCACTTGATAGGTAAAACCGTTGTTCAAATATTGGTCTTGTCAGCGTGCCTCGCGTAAACATGTCATCGCCAGGATTTGGGTAAAGGGTTTGCTACTTGCAGTCCTGATTGGGGTATATAATCTCTTTACAAAAATACTAGTCGCGAATAGTCTTAAAAAGCAATATCTCTTTTAGTAAACCTTATGTCAATAGTTTTTTTAAACGTGTATGTACCAAAGACCTGCTTAGATGTAAATTTCAATAATCAGCAAGCGTCATGCCACCTCTTTGTCCTAGCGAGGCCACTAACGTAGTAGTTTGTTTATTTTTAGCGACATCGAGTAGACAAATGCATGAAAGGAAACCAGCAGAGCTTGGAAAATTTACCTGCAACTTATTAAAAGTGTGCGCCATCCTAAAAACAGTTAGTGGGGGCTTTAAAACCAATAAACGAACCAATTAATGTGCAACATGTGCTCTAGATATTCGTGGAATAACTCGAAATTGCTAGACAAAGTTGGTGAAAGTTGCGTTTCTTTCCGGCTCGGTATCCGGACATAATTTATTGCACGCATTCTAGTCTGCGTGAACGCGAAATTGCTTTGGTTGCATTTGGCCAATTCCCGACAGCTGCGTGATATTTTTTGTAAAAAAAAAACTAACAAAATACTTATTTTGCTTCATTCTATGTGTCCAAGTGCTCATATTGTTTGGCTTAAAGTTATATTTTTGCGTTGAGACTCTTAAAAAAAGAACATGGTGTGCTGAAATTAACAAAATCCTTGTTATTCGAGGTTTCAAGTGCGCCCTAAAAAGCCAACATTTGGTAACATAGAATGCATTTACAAAAGCCTATTGACTGGGCGTGTCCTTTAACTTGTCAAAGACGAAGCTAAACCAGACATTGCTTGCCAAAATTTTGGTTGAGTTTCCTAGAAAAAAATTGCAGCATTTTGCTGTTGCAGTTTCGTCTGGTAAATTTTCAATTTTGCCTTATTTTAACCGACAGATTTTCCCTTGAATTCACTACTTAATGACCGAGGTTTCAGCACCTGCACCAAACTCATTATTTAAAAATCAATCCATAGTCAAAATTTTTAAAAACGCATGTCTTCTAGATGCAAATGTAGGTAATTTGAAAGAATGGCAGCACCAGCATACATTATGATTGCTTATTGCTGCCTCGGGGTAGACAGGTAATAGCTCCTCCACTTGAAAAAAAAATTAAAAAAGGGTAGTACTTCGCCAAAAACGTTCGTACTGTCGCATCTCTGCCAAAATGCCAACGCCGCCACCTGTTAGCCGACAGTAACCACGTATTTTTTGCGGATCACGTGATGCGTGTCATGGCAATGTAATCTAGTGCCTCTCACTTCGACTTGGTTTCCAATTGCAGAGCCATAACCCGTTCGGTTGACTTCCAAAAATCTCACTGAATGCAAATTTACCATGTAAATTGACAAGTCGGATGTGTTTAAATAACCTTCACGACTGCGTAGAACACCTGATAACTTGATAATTTTCGTGCTATCAACATATTCTTCTTGCAAATATTTTTGAGCATAGCTCAATTCAAGTGTCATGGACATCGTAAATACTGCAGAAATGATGGTTATAGATGGGGCATTTAAGGATATAACGTCGCGCCTATTCATTTACATTTATTCTCAAACTTCTTTTCAACGTAGCTTAAGTTATAATCAGCCAAGTGATGCAGGTCTTCATTTTAGAGTTAGCTGTCGGTAAAATCAACGAGGAGTCAAACGCTATATAATGGAGGTTAATTTTGTAGTCAGTAAAGTGCTACGTTTTTTTTCCAATCGCCTCAAAGGGACTGCCACTAAATGCCTCTTTTTACCACTCCCCTATTTGTAAAACTGCTCGCTACTTTGATTAATCTGCTGCAAAGGTGTACTGAATGCATAGTCATTTCAATAATCGAAAAATGCAAGTATTAAGCGTGATTCCATTGAAGGCAAAGTGGCCATCGTTGGGGTTTCTGTATTGCGCATGATCGCATTTTTTGTGCTCTGTAAAATGTATCTGCATAAAATTTAAAGATTTTTTAAAGTGTGCAGTCATTAATGCATTGTTTTACAAAATGACAATCCTAGTTGCTTCAAGTCCAGAGGTGGTGGGGATGTGAAAAAGCCAACTTTGTTAAAGCAAATCTGATCATTAAATGGATAAGTCTTAAAAAAATACTCGGCTTTTGGCGGCTTTTAAATAAACTTCACTTCGCCACTGGATGACTTTGTTCTTAAGAAAAATGATTTAATTACACGGCAACCGTTAATACTTGCCCACTTAGTAGTTGCAATTGGACGTGTACTTTACGGTAAGTTGAACACAAAACTAATGAATTAGCATACCTTGTTGTTTTCCGCTGTGGCATCGTTATCACGCGCCTTCACCTCACCAACCGGAGCATTCACCTTCGCATTTTCGTCAATCAGGAATTGGTACAGGGGTTTATCAAATTCTGGGGCGCAGTCATTTTCGTCTAGCACTTCAATTGCCAACATGGCGTTCCCTTCATTGACAGGTTCGCCGGCGCCTGACTCATTCCCGTACCGGTCCTTAACAGTAACCATCAGGTTGAATCTTCCCACTACCTCCCTGTCGATGGCTGCGGCTGTTGAAAGAAGTCCAGTAAAGGGATCCACCTTGAAATTTTTCGCTCCTTCACCACTTATGGAATACACCAAGGCCGCATTCTTGCCTACGTCTGCATCAAATGCCTCCAGCCGGTAGACGTTCACACCAATCGGAGAATTCTCCTTGACGCGAGCAAGCATTGGATGATGCTTGAATACCGGCTTGTTGTCATTCTTATCAAGAATTATAAGTTTTATATCTGCTCGTGATGTTTGCCGGGGTTGGCCATTATCGTGGCATGTCAGAGCAACAAAGAGTTCACTCAGTTGTTCCCTATCAAAGGAGACACGGGTAACGAGCTTGAATTGACTCTGTGAGCCCTCAAAGAGTGGCTCGATTGAGAGGCTGTCATGGCTTAATTGACATTGGAAAGCAGCCGGTCCCTCGTTGGTAAAGGCCTGTGTTCCACCAACCTGGTCCTCATCGGTTAGCAGGACAGTGGCGATGAAGTACCCAGGCGGTCGATCTTCTTCGACTTCCAGGTATATGGGTTTGTACCGCTGTGTCTGCTGCTGCTGCTGCTGCTGTTTCTGGCCGTCAGTATCCTGTCTAACTGGCCTTACAGGCCGGACTGTAATGGTTGGTGCGTGGTCGTTGAGATTTATGATCTGAATTCTCACTTCTTGGCTATCCAAGTATTTCCCGTCGCTAACGATAATTGGCAGTGTGTAAGAAGCCTGTGCCTCGTAATCAGGTGACTGTTTCAGAAACACAGTCCCGTCCTTCTCACGAATTCCAAAAACTGCCTTTGCTGCGGGCGTCGTCGTACTGTCGAAGTAGAAGACCAAGTTCTCTTGATCGCTAATGTCAGGTTCAACGACGCGCGGTGTGTATATGGCCTGTCCGTAAGGAGCGTTTTCTTGGACGTCAATTGTCACGGAGTTACGTCGAGGAGTTCCTTCTGTCCTTAGGGTGGCATACACTCCATCAAAAGAAGAAGCCTCCGGTGGCAAAAAATACGGCGCATGGTCGTTGATGTCCTTAACATTCACTCGGAGAGTGACACTTCCTGTCCTTGGCACGAACCGACTTCCATCAACTGCGGCAAGTTTGAGTACATACGTCTGAGGAGGGCCCTCCGTTTTGCCGTCGTCTTTGCGAAGCAGTTGTTTCTGCTGAATCAGACTCAGCTGGCTCGGGGTTTCGTAGTCTAGTTCGCCAATTACCTGTAACCACAGACGAAAATTCGGACCTGCGCAGGCTTGCAAATTCCAGCCACTGTTCCACCTATCTAGGAGAAAGTGCTGTTGATCTCTTTGGTCGGCAACTTCAGTGTCCAGTTGAAACAACCGATTAATATCGGGACTGGGGCCAACACTCCCACCAAAGTCAACCTCAGGTCTGTTGGGAGTAAAAAGGAAGTACTTTGATGTTGTATTTTCCGGACCACAGTCCGCATCCAAAGCGATAGGCAGGGGAAATCTAGTTCCTGGAGACGTATGCTCTGGAACAGTGATATTGATCGAGTCTTCCTGCCAAGTTGGCGTGTTATCGTTGATATCTAAAATGAAAATTTTTACAAGAATGACCTGAGGTTCAGGAGTCCCGTTTGGTTGACTCCCCAGACGCAGTACTTGAAGATCTATGGAGCAGGGCACTTCGTTCATGTCTGTGGTGGGCGATCGATGAACATTCATGGTAGGGGGACAAATCTCCTCCCTGTCTATTCTTTGCTTCGTTGTAATTGTTCCGGACGAGCTGTGCAAATCGAATTGCCGTGTGGCTGTAAGTAGTTGGTAGGTATCGCCATTGAGTTGATTTGGAGGAAAATGCGGCACATGGAGACTGAAATCTTCACTTAGGCGACCAACGACAGTGCCTTCAGGACACTCCTCAGTCAACTGGAACTGAACATTGACACCTGCCCTCTGCGCCGAAATCCTCACTATCAGCAGTATCAAGGAAAGAAATGAAGACAAGACGTCCATTTGCCTACGAATACATGTTATTTACATCGAGTAACTTCAATGGGTGTGTTTGTAAAAACACAAAATAGATGAGTGCAATGGTTTCGCTTCCACAATCTGCCATTACGGCCAATCTGTGGGCGGACACGTGTGCCCGTAATCTGATTGGTTGTCACTGCTTCTAGCATGGAGAATTAGCCTCTCACTGACGCGTGTGCTTGGGAGCGCTCGTGTGTGTGTGTGTGTGTGTGTGGCCTGACGAAAGGCTGAAAGAACGGACGAGGACCTTTTTCTTTTGCAGTAGCAAGTAGTGTGTGCGTGTGTGTATGATTTTGTTGTGTGAATAACACAATCCCGCCCATTTACAATGCCTGTTAAATTGGCCCATTCACGTCCACTTAGTCGCACATTATTTAACAAGTTTTTGCAAAATAGCCGGGTCATTTTATAGTTACAAGTAGCCACTGAATTGGTCACAAGGGCAGCCAGCCAAATTTACGTAAATTGGTAAACTTCATGAAATAATGAGCATATCAGATAAACAAGTACAAAAGGACTACAAAAACAATATACATGGTATGATTTGTACTGGTTTTTGTTTTAAATACCATTTTTTATAAATTTAGGATTAGTTATACCCACGATAATGGACATTTTTTCATCCAGTGTAAACTGAATTTAAAATTCTAACCTATTTGGCCCACAACATGCTTCATCGAAGTTCATCACAGAGTTAACGGGAATATTTGTTTCTTTGGCATTCATAAAACCTGGCAAATACACTAATAGCAACACTGATTGGCCGATGCCAAATCGAATAAAGTTTTGATGATATTTGAAATTTTGCATGAAACCAGCATCAAGGAAACTAGACCTCTCCGGCATACCGCAGAGTCCAAAACTGGCTAATATAAATAAACAACTTCGCGAACACAGAAGACGCAGAAAGCAGCAATCCATGGGTTGAATTATGGCCACAAGGGACTTCAAAACATACCCTAGACATGTGGCTATTTTTAGAAGGAAATACTCAAAATGCGAGTAGGCTGGTGTGTGTGTGTGTGTTTAAACATGACAAGAGTTACGCTTTACAGGAATTATATAAATGCTTTAGAAAAAGGCTAAAAATGCTTGTTTTCTCATCAGCCTTATAGAAGCTCCTCTTGTTATCATTGACATTTGATTGGACAATTGGTTTTTTTTAGTTTCGTCAATGAATTTCAGAGTAAACTGGATGCATGTATATACATGGGTGCATTAAATAGTACTAATAAGTGTAGACATGCTGTCGCACCACATGAGAAGAGGTTCCTTTTAAAGATAAAGAAAACTTGTCATTTTGTACTTTTTTAGCAGTCGCCATTAATTTTGATTTACTTCCTACGATATTTGAACCACCGCCGTGAATGCGAGGATTCCATTTTAAGTAGTCAATGCCCGAAACACTATTTTTAACTCACATGGTGTTCATTTCTTCGACTGAATACAGTTGGGGCGCGACTGCGGTAGGATTAAAACAACTGTTAGTGCAGATCGATGGCTTTGTCTGCTTGGAAGACACCAAGAAATGACATAGCATGGCTGCCACTAGTGTTTGTGAGACGTCTGCATCTGCAATTAATTGGGTTTGCAACCACCACCTCCCTGTCCACAAGAGGTGATGTCATCATTTACAATGTGGTCTTGTGAAACAATTTTACCAGTCCTTTTGGATCTAGTGTGGCATTAATAGGGTTGAATTGTTACACTTTTTAAACATTTATTTTCGGCAGTCCGGTCGGGTTTTGCGTGTGGTGATAAATTGTCAAATAACTGGGGACTAAATGGCAATTCAAATTCCGAACTTAGAAAAACGCAGATGAGTTAATTAAGCGGTTGATTGTTCGGAAGTTAAACTTCACTGGGAACCCTGCGGTGTACAGAAGCTCGAGTTTGAAATAAAAGGCGGTTTCAATTAGCGCTCTTTTTGTGATGATCATACAAATTACCGCCAGACAAAGGGCCTAGGAAAAACAAATTTTGCCGTTTATAATCAACTGGAATTTCTAGCCTTTTCATAGCGCAATTTTAACGTCAAAAAATTCGAAGAAAATGAGGTTCTTTCAAATATAACAACTACAATTTCTGTAGTATAGCACGTTCGGGAAAAAAAGTAGCTATCATTTTAATATAGACACTAAGAAAATGAATTAACAAAAAAATCTGCCAGGAGATAAAAGGGCAAAATTTAAAAGTTCATTTAATTTGTCATGCCCAGAAATTATTACCCGTTTCTAGGTAAGCTACCTTTGAGTTTAGGGTGTGTTCTGTTCATGGATGATAATAATTTGTTATTTATTGAGGTGATATCTAGACGAAAATTTGATTTTCAGGGCTATTCTACATTAGTGAGCATTAACACCTTACGGGTAAACAAATATTAGCCTAAATTACTATGTCATAGTTTTTGTACCGATAAGTAAAACTCAGAAAGAATAGCTGGAAGGCTTATATTATTCCTTACTGTTAACACAGGGATGTCATATTCAAAACTGAGTCGGCAGTGATAATGTTTCATTTAAAATTTTGCTAGCTGACTTGAATTGCGTTGGCCCTTTTTAAAAGATAATTTTTTTATAAATTCAGTTAAATACCACACTAATGCAGGAAATTACGCCGGCATGTCTTGACTCTGAGTGTGCTGGAGTAGCAATGCATCGTAGCCGTGAATTTATAACTTTTTATGCATTTGCAGTCGTTTAATGGCTCTCCAGTTGACTAAAAGCGTCACTTCTGGAACCGCCGTAACCCAAGATTTGACTACACTTTGGACAGGAGTGCAATGAACCGCGAGTCATTTGCCCGCGATCCCATGTGTGCACTAAACTTCACACCGAAAGTAATATGTCGATGGAAATTGCTGACTGATAAGCCTGTTCTACGTCTTATTCTTTTTTCATGAATTCGTTTGAGCGTTTTTGTTGCGAAAAAACACAGCCTAGCGTTCAGTACTAGGTGTGTTGAACGTTTCAACAAACTGCTCAATTTTTCTTAGCGTTTGCACTTTCAATGTCGCGCACACTCCTGCAAAGAAACCACGTCGGATGGTGACAATTCAAAGAACGTTAGCTTTCTGTAATCCCACCACATGTGTCTTCCGTGCACGCTGATTTTACGTCCCGTTTTAACTGCCGATCCTTGTCATCTCGCGGAAATTTGCCAAGTACAAACTTGCACGTGATCAATTTTTATCGTCCGCAACAGTCTTGAATCCTCTAAGGCAAACTGTCTTTGTTAGGTGAGTTTCCGGTAAACACAGACTCCTAAACTGCTCACTCTCTCAGCTGTTGTTTCTAACGATAACTAGCAGGTTCTGAAATCACCAATCTCATTTATAGCATTCTCTCAATAAGTTTCCCCATTTAGGGTCTTCTAAGCGTTAATTTTTATGTATAAAGCTAAGCGAAGTTCTAATTTGTGTGCTGTAAATCATATGAGCTTTCTGGAAACAGTCCGAGAATGTATATTCCACAGCCACTTTTATCACTTTTACGGCCGGTAATGCAAAGTCAGCAGGTAGTTTGTTACCACATATAACATCAGAATGTCACAAAAGCACGAATGCTTTACGGTCCTACCCCAATCGTGCTGGTGGGTCGACGAAATAACCATTCTGTGACCATTTACGGGGCCAGTCTAGATCAGATTCTTTGGAATGTGGGTTTTTGCCTCAAAAACTGATGAAAGATGATGAAACAGATTAGAATTGCATTATTATTGATTTTTCACAAACACACAGATATGTTACTTATTCGCAATAAAAAGATAATTTTGCATTTAATAAATTTGAAGCACCCTGTACCAGTTAAATAAATGTTCTGGGAATATGTGACTACATGCATTACGTGTTTCCCTCAACAGTAATCACACAATTAAGTCTGTAGGACACAATTTTATTTCCACACTGACCAGAAACAAGTTGATAGGAGCGGACAAGGGCTTCAAGACGCCTGCTTCTCTTAAACGCCTGTAGTCGTGATTAGTTTTGCGCTCACTTTGTTCTCCAAAACAACGTCCCATTTCCCCACTCGATTATCCGGGATTCTCCCTACACCTAGGTCTCGATGGTAGCTCATATATGACTCACACATCTGAGGTATAAATGTACACGCACAAATGCCACTCACGACACGCAACGACACCAACTTGATTGAGTTCCAAGGTAAACGTTTGTGTCCACATCCTCCCCGGTCTTTGTTTTTTCATCGCGGGTTGCAGGGAAGCGAAATCGAGTCAGATCCAAGTCAGTGGCCCCGGCGTGGTTCTAAACCACATGCTAAGGCCCACAACATCTCCACTGGTTGCAGATTTAGATCGGTTTTACATGTCCGTCCTCATATTTGTCATCAATTAAGATTTACATTAATCCTAAATGCCTACGATTGTTGCAACTTTATTGGGCTATTTCGCCTCTGCAGATTCAATCATGCATTGTTGTGAATTCTTTTCGCTTCTAAGTTTGACATGCCACAGCTTCTTTGCCCCGAATCCTTTTAATAAGCCAAATAAATTTTTCCGAACCGACCTTTTGAAGTGAGGTAAGCTATTATACCTACTCAAGGCAAGGTTTGAGCTAACAAGCGAATAGAACTGAAGCAAATTGAGTTGAGGCTTGTTCTAACAAAATGATATAATACTTTTTCTTAAAATCTAGAAAAAGAAAACACTAAAGGCCAATCCGCCATGGCAGTATTTCGGCTTGTTTTGCTGAAGCACTAAGGAATTTAAAAGGTTGTTTATTTTAACCTTCTCCTCGTCTCTATCTTCCTTTCTCTTCTCGAATTGTCTTTAATCGCCCGACACTTTTTATTCCCCCTACAAATTACTTTCGTACAAGTGAAAACCATGGACCTTTATACTGCAAAAGCAGCTAGAAGAATCACCGTTTTCGAAATTTCTTTTTTACATCAAAAATATTTTTTTTCTCAAAGCCTTTATTAAATGCTCACCAGAGCACGCGTCATCACCCAAGGAGCAGCTAT